AACTTGCTTGAGGTTTTCACAGCTGGGGACATAGGGTACACAAACCCCAGAGCTCTGACTCTGCCCCATGATTCGCAGAGAGGCAGAGCCTACAGGAGGGAATATATGAAAATGAAGAAGCCACAGTCCCCACCTCAGAAGATCTCCCTGTCCAGGGGGAAGACAGCCAGGCATGCAAACATCTCCAAAATGTGTGAAAAAGGCTATACTAAAGGTGCAAAGCATATAGGGAATGCTGACTGGGGAAGTCACCAACCTTGCCTAGGAGAATTCCAGAAAGGGAATATTTCAGCTGGCTTTTGAAAAGTAAATAGGGTGCCTGGGTGGCTCAGTTGGTTACGCATCTGCCTTTGGCTCAGGACATGATCCCAGGGTCCTGGGATCAAGTTCTGCATTGGGCTCCCTGCTCAGAGGGGAGCCTGCTTCTCCCCCTCCTTCTGCCCCTCCCCCCTGCTGGTGTGTGTTCTCTCGCTTTCTCTCTCTCAGATAAATAACTAAAATCTGAAAGAAAGAAAGAGAGAGAGAGAGAGTAGGAGCAATTAATTGGGAAATGAAATTTTAGAACAGCTCTATTTACAATAGCATAAAAACGTAATTAGGAAAATTTAACAGAAGATGGAAGATTTCTTCCTTCTAAACTACAAAACACTGCTGAGAGAAATTTAAAAAGACTTAAATTAGGGGCCCCTGGGTGGCTCAGTTAAGCTTTTGACTCTTAATCTCAGCTCAGGTCTCGATCTCACGGTTGTGAGTTCAAGCCCCCCACAGGGCTCTGCACTGAGCATGGAGCCTACGTTAAAAAGACTTGAACAAGTGGAGAGATATACCATATTCTTAGATTGGTGCTCAATATTAAGATGTCAGGTTTACCCAATTTAATCCTTAGAGTCATTAAAATCCCAATTATAATTCAAGCAGGCTATATTTATGGTAGAAATTGAGTTGAATTTTAAAATGTACACAGAAAAGGAAAAGGAAAAGATCTAGAAGAGTCAAAACAAACTTGAAAAAGAACAAAGTTGGGGGACTCATAACCTGATTTTAAGACTAACTATAAAGCTATAGTAATCAAACAATCAAACACACACTTAATCAAATCTAACTGTTCCAGTTATCTATCGCTGTGTAACAAATCACCCTGAAAACAGTGGATTAAAACAATGACACTCATTTACTTTGGTTATGAACCTGAGGACTGACTGGGCTCAGCTGACCAATTCTCATTCAAGTCTTTCTGAATGAAGATGTAGTCAGTTGAGGGCTGGGGCTAGCTCATCTTCAACCTTTGTCACTCCCATGTCTGGGGCACAGACTAGGACCACTCAACAGCTGGGGCTCCTCTTTCTATGTGGCATTTCCACTTATGTGCCTCACGGGGGCAGGGCTTCCTATGGGCAGCGGAAGATTCCTACAGTGAGTGTCCAGAGAATCATGTGAAAGCAGCATGAAATCTAGACTTGGAGATTATCCAGAGTTACTTTCTCTGCATTCTATCTTTTGGAAGTCAATCTCCGAAGGCAGCCCATAGTCAAGGGAAGAGGAATTAGACTCCCTACCCTCATTAAGGAGTGTCAAAAAAAGTTGCCAGAAAAAAAAAAAAAATTGCAGACATGTTTTAAAACCACACATGAACGAAACAAGTGGAGAACCTGAAAGAAAACTCACTTTTGGCCTTAAGAAAAGTATGGTAGAAACAAGAAAGCCTCTGATACAATGACGGGAAATACTACCAAGGACCCCGAGCTTTCCTGAGGCTCCTGATGAGTTTAATCAGCAATGGCAGGTGGGTAAAGACAAGAAGCCGGGTGGGGGGAGGGACTTCTCCCCATCTCATACAAAGTGTTGGCTTTACTCAACTAGGGAAGGTCCCCAAAATTTCACATGCCTTCTCTCTTTCACTTCAGGCCTCTTTTAAATATGCTGTTCCCACTAACTGGTATGCCCTTCCTCCTTCCTAGGACTATCGTACTCATTCTTCAGGTTCGGTGTAGCACTTGTTCCTCCAGGAAGCCCTCCTTGACCCCCAAACCTGGCTCAAGGCCCCTTCCCTGGGGTGCCATAACTCCCTGTACTCTGCCCTTACTCAACACTCATTAGTGTCTTGCTGTCTGTTTGCTTATTGATCCCGCTGCTAGATCTTTACTGGAGTTGAAGCTCCCCGAAGACACAAAGCAGGATTTTGTCCACCTTTATACCCACAGCACCCTAGTAAGGTTGACGACGGACTTTAAGTGAGGGTGTGGCATATTCCTGAGCTACAATAGGACTCAAAGCCACACAAGGAAGCAGCTGCAAGATCTCTTGCTTTGTCTGGAGGCATTGTTCATCACCTCCCTGTGCAGGCAAACTAGAAGTGGGCAGAGCAGATCTGACAGCATGATTAGCTAGTCGCTTGGTGTGAACAGCCAACACTGCAATGTGCTCAACCGTGGCCTCCCCTCCGGCCTCCCCAAATCAGCCAACTCCCCTTCCCAGCTCCTCTCTGAGAGTAGATCGACCTGCTTCCCACTAAAACCATAGACATGATAATAAGAGGGAAAAAAAGGGTCGAGGGGACGACAATTGGTGGCAACGAGATGAACACAGATTAATGATGTGGACCTCGCCCTGGCCACCCCAGCCTGGGCTGGGGAAGGTTCATAGTTGATACCCATTAAAGGGCTTAATGAAATAATTATAATTCGCACCCCAGAGCATCAAAGAATCAATACTGGGGAACTTTGGACCACTCTGGGGGTGGCACCCCACTGGCTTCACAGTTCAGCACAGCATGCAGGGCTGGGGGAAGTAAATGCAGTTGACACAGAAGTTGCATTAAAGGAGGGGCAATAATAGATTAAAAGCTGCCAGGATCCTGGCAACTGACCGTCGATATCCTTTATTTCCTACCTCGCCCCAATTCTGCCCCCTCCAGGCACTATTAGCCCAAATCAATGGGCTGTCAATTGACATCACCAGCTCTAGCATTAATGCGAGCTCACAAAAGAAGCCCGGCCCTGTATTATCACTTCTCTCGCTTCCAAATTACCACGTAATGCAGGCCGCCGGCCGTCTGTGCCATGTTAACAGTACACACGATTTGTTGGGATTGGACTAAATATTTCATGGATAAAGATTTCATCAGAGACTTGATGACAGAAATAAACTGCTGCCCACGGGGAAATCACAAGCAATAATAGAATTAGGCATCGTTGGGCGCCTGGGTGGCTCAGTCGTTAAGCGTCTGCCTTCGGCTCAGGTCATGATCCCAGGGTCCTGGGATCGAGCCCTACATCGAGCCCCACATCGGGCTCCCTGCTCGGCAGGAAGCCTGCTTCTCCCTCTCCGACTCCCCCTGCTTGTGTTCCTGCTCTCGCGCTCTCTCTCTCTCTGTCAAATAAATAAATAAAAATCTTTAAAAAAAAAAAAAAAAAGAATTAGGCATCGTTTGGGAATCTGGAGGGATGATGGGCCAGTAAAGGGAACACTGCCCACAGCTGGCGGCCTACGGTGGGATATGCTTCAGAGAAGGAGACTCATGAAAACGCCTTTTGTTGGTCCCACGAAAGGCAAGTTTTTGGATTTTTGTGGAGGGTTTTCTATTTGTAGGCAAAAGCTGGGAAGAGGATTCCTCTTCTGTGATCACAGGGAATGTAACTGTTACAGGTTGAACTGTGTTCCCTGTCCCCCAACCCTGCAAAAAAAAAAAAATCTAGTGAAGTCTATGAAAATTAATAAAGGGAAATCTCAAGGAAGTGGACTCAGGATGCAGGAAGGGAGGCTGGAAGGGGCAGCCTGGACCACTCAATGTCAATTATAAGAAGAATTGTCAGTTCCAGACCCCAACAGAAGAAAAGTCAACAGGAAAGAACCATCAATTACAGGCCCCAACAGGGAAAGAGACACACCGCATCTCCTACAAGAGACGGCAGATCCATGCAACTCAGCCAGGGAGAAACCCTCATCACCCTGACCTCTTTCTTGCTTTTCTCCAGTGGATTTTCGTTCAAAACAACTCCTCCCAACTTCCTCCTTCTCCTCTGTAAAATAAAGTGCCTTCCCTTTGTTTGTGGGCCTTGCCTATGGTTTTGCCTGAGCTTGCTTGTCCTACATGGCCAGTCTGTTATTCTCAAATAAACCCATTTTGCTGGTAAAAGAAGACACAGCTTTATTTTTAAGGGTAACAAATCTTAATCCCCACTACCTCAGAATGTGACCTTGTTTGGAAATAGGGTCTTTACAGAGGTGATCACGTTAAAATGAGGTCATTAGGGAGGGCCCTACTCTAGTAGGACTGGCATCTTAGTGGAAAGCAGAAATTTGGACACAGACGGGCACAGAGGGAGGTCAAAGTGGACACATGCAGGGAGAAGACAGCCACGTGACTGGAGTGGTGATCTCTAAGCCCAGGAACATGTGAGGCCATCAGAAGCTAAGAGAGAGGCCCAGAACAGTTCCTTCCCTGATGCATTCAGAGAGCATGGCCCTGCCAACAACTTGACTTCAGACTGCTGGCCTCCAGAACTGTGAGACAATATATTTCTGGTTTAAGCCACACAGTTTTTGGTCCCTTGTTATGGCAGCCTTAGGAAATGTTAATAATTATGGCTTATATAACTAATAGTTAATAATAATAGCTCTTATTGAGCACTTATTCTAGGAGCCAGGCAGAGAGCTAAATACTTCACATATCCTGGCTCATTTAATCCACATAACAAACCTGATAGTTGACCGTTTTTTTTTTTTTAAGATTTATTTATTTGTCAGAGAGAGAGAGAGAGAGAGGGAGGGAGAGAGTACGCACAAGGAGGGGAAACGGCAGGCAGAGAGAGAAGGAGGCTCCCTGCTGAGCAAGGAGCCCCATATGGGACTCGATCCCAAAACTCTGGGATCATGACCTGAGCCGAAGGCAGACACTTAACCGACTAAGCCACCCAGGCATCCCATTAGTTGACTATTATAATCCCCATTTCATGAGATACTCAGTTTTAAGATAGAATAGTTTGCTTAAGGTCACACACCTAGTCAACGGCAGAGTGGGTCTCAGACAGAAACCTGACAACAAGCAAATAAAAAGGTTCCTGGTGAATATTTCCAGTTTTCAGATGATTACTTGCCACCTGCTTTCTTTCCAGTCCAATCTAATTTTCTCACCCCCGGGGTGTGGAACCTGTATCTACTTGGATCAAGAGTCCACTGCGTCGGAAGTGCAGACCTCTGAAAACAACAGCATGGGTGGGGACAGGTTGGTCAAAGGCTTCAAACTTCCAGCTCACAGGATAAAGAAGTTCTGGGCATCTCAGGGACAGCATGGTGAGTGTTAACAGCAGTATGTTGATTCTTGAAAGTTGCTAAGAGAGTAAATCTCAAGTGTTCTCACCAGGAAAAGGAAATGGTAATTAATGTAAGGTGATGGAGGTGATAGCTAACCCTCCTGTGGTAATCATGTCGCACTACGTAACGTGTCTCTCCCTTCCTCCCCATCCACTGGGGACGCCAGCTCTATAGCCTCTTTCCTTTTCTGACTTAAAAAAAAAATCACAAAACTGCTTTATTAAGACATACAACACAATTCAACCCTTTAAAGTATACAATTCAGTATTTTTCGTATATTCACAGAATTGGGTAACCATTACAATTTAGAATGATTCATCATCCCGAAACAAAGCCCCATTACCTATTTAGAGTAACTGCATATTCTGCTTAGCTCTTTGAGAACTGCTAACTATTCCACAGTGGCTGTACTATTTTATATTTACACTAGGGGTGTAGGAGGGTTCCAGTTCCTCCACATCCTTGCCAACTTGTTTTTTTTAATGACCGACATCCTAGTGGGGTATGAAGTTCTATCTCATTGTGATTTTGAGCTGCATTTCACTGATGGCTAAGGATGCTGGGCATCTTTCCATGTGCTTATTGGCTATTTGTAGATCTTCTTTGGAGGAGAAATGGCTTTTCAGATCTTTTGTCCACTGTAAAAAATGTTTTTTAAATATATTTTTAAGATATTCTGGATACCAGTCCTTTATTAGATACATGGTTTGCAAATGCTTTCTCCAATTCTGTGTGTTGTCTTTCTTCACTTCCTTGATGGTATCCTTTACCTAAGTTCTTAATTTTTAGGAAATCTGGTATGTCTCTTTCTTTTGTTGCTTATGGTTTTGGTGTCGTATCTAAGAAACCCTTGCCTAGTCCAAGTCAAGAAGATTCACAGCCTTTTTTCTTAGAGCTCTGGGGCTGGCTGCGTCCTCTGAATGCCCTGAACCGTGGCCCAGCTTCTTAGGACAGGCCCCATACCCTCCAGGCCAGGCTGTATGGCTGTCCTCTGTATTGCAAAGACTAGCTGCGCTGCCTCCCCTCATCCCACTCACTCCACATACTGGCCAGATTTCGGAGGCAGTCTAAAGACATCGGGGGTCCGTTAGGCCAAAGGTTTTGAATAGTTGTCACTGTCAACTTTAATTTGGCTAGAGCTATTCCCGGCTTGATCATTCCCTCCTCTCATGCAACTTTAATCTTGGCTCCCCAATTCTGCAAGGAGCAACTGTAGCAAAGATCTGTGGAGGGATCTGAGCTCAGCCAGCCAGCCTCTCACCACTCCATAGCGATGACCATGACCAACCCCTTATAAAACCCAAAGAGAGTACATTCTACCACCAACCGCTTGGGTGCCTGCTTCACTCCTTTTCATTCTTTTACTTGATAAATATTATATGCTTATAATGTGCCAAACACTGGAAATACAGGAGTGTGTGAATATTCTTGCATTCTTGGGTTTGAGTTTGAGCAGGGAGAAATTCAAGCATTTCATACAAATATGGTTGAATCTCAGAAGTAGAACTTCAGAGGTGAAGGAAATAACACAGGGGCTTAAATTAGAAAGAGTGTATCAGGAAAGAAATTCTAACCACTAAGATTTACCTTTTCCCCCCCTCCATGTTTCAAAGCTCTTTATCTCCCCACCACCTCTAAGCCCCAAGTACCCTGAGATCTCTACTCAAAGCCATAACCCCAACCAGGGCACTTGCTCAACTGGTGGCTGGGAATGCTCTACCTGGAACATGAACGTGAATACTTGGGGTTGACTTCCTTCCTCAACACTTGTTTCCAGGTTAGGCAATTTGTGAAACCAAAAAGCACAGACTTTAGTGAACGCCTTTCGGTGGCTTTCCTCAGCTGCGTTTGGAGTTGTTTTCTAAATAGCTACTGCCATCTAGTGGAAAAAGAGATCCTTACCGCCAGATGCAGACCCCAAAAATGAAAATTCTCAACTTTTTCCTATTTATGTTCCACCAATCACTCCACCTTACCAGAATCCAAAAGGCTGTTTTTCCTTTGAAAGTATAGGACCTGGAAAATTATAAGTACTGCATAAATACTGTTTGAGCAAAGGATTATTTGCAGGTATTTTATGATCGCTCCATTTTTTTGTATTACATTTTAAGTACATAAATAGTAATATTGTGAGTAAACGTACTGCTGTGGCTTTGCAGATTAAAATTACTCCCTTAATAGTTTAACAAGTGCAACAATTACTGTTGATTAAACTCAAACTATTGCTAAATACATTTAGCTGAAACCAGCATTAATTCTTAAAAAGCTGCACATAGAGACAGACCGTTGGCTTTTTTTGCTCCCTCTCCCCAATTCAGTGGAGCCCTGTGCAAAATTATGAGCCAGCCATCAAGCACCACATTTCTGCTTATAACTACAACCTCCTCAATAATTCCCCGGAATTAAAAATTGCCTTTGCCACCCCAGGTAGATTTACACGTGCGTAGCTGACCATCCAGCCATCCTTCCCGTGGAAGGTTGTTAAAAGAATCAAGAGAAGTGGAAGCCATCTGTTAACTCTAAACTGAACGGTAAGTGATAAATACTGCTATCTCTGCATCTTCTAAGCGTGCCCTAACAACTTCTGATACTTCTTGCCAGGGTCTTCCCACAAGCACGCCATTTATACTTTGTAAAATCACTTCGTAGTTACCAATTGATCTTGTGTGGGCCAACCTCCTGTTATTCTACGTATAGAAGGCCAAAACACATTTTTACCAGTTTTTTTTATCTACCCCGCCCCCAACAAACCAAGCTTATCTCACAGCAGGAACCTAATTAAACACAAAAGCAAAAGTTGATTTGAGTCACTGAGCTCCTTAAATGCCCGTATTGCTTGGACTGCCACATGTAAAAGGCAAAAAAAAAAAAATTCACCGTGAAAAAAAAAAAAAAAATTCACCGTGAACTCAAACGAGGAACTACCAGATGAATATCGAGACCAAGTTACTAAGTACATAAAACTGCATGTGTTGAGGAGCAAGATTACAAAACTTAGAAAATATTCCTTCCAGGGGTGCCTGGGTGGCTGAGTTGGTTAAGCACCTGCCTTTGGTTCAGGTCATGATCCCAGGGTCCTAGGATCGAGCCCCTGCTCAGTGGGGAGCCTGCTCCTCCCCCCTCCCCCGGGGTTCCCCATGCTTGTGCTCTCAAATGAAATCTTTTAAAAGAAAATATCCCTTCCAGCAAGTGTGAATCCCAGATGCTATGTTGAGCTAGTGTTAATTCACACTGCAACAGTGCAGAAACACAGGTTTTGGAGTAAAGCCTGCAAAATTTGAGGATCTGGAACCCCTCTCCTGTGCAATCTGAGATCAACTCAACTCTGAACCTGCGTCAACTGTAAACACAACCTTCAGATTAGCTTTTTTTTTTTTTTTTTAGATTTTATTTATTTGAGAGAGAGAATGAGACAGAGAATATGAGAGGGGGAGGATCAGAGGGAGAAGCAGACTCCCTGCTCAGCAGGGAGTCCGATGCGGGACTCGATCCCAAGACTCCAGACTCATGACCTGAGCCGAAGGCAGTCGCTTAACCAACTGAGCCACCCAGGCGCCCCCAGATTAGCTTTTTTTAAAAAAATCTATCAAGTAGTTAATTTCCTTCTTCCCAAAGCCCCATTATTTTTTAGTATACAGGCCCAATCTCTTCCATTTGCATAAGAGAACCCACCATTTTTCAAATCCCAATTTGTTTCACTAACTGAATTTAACTTGGAAGTTCAACTTGCAATAGCTAGAACCTATCAACTTTGGTTGGGCTTTGTCTTGTGCTGTTTTTCACTAATCACATTTGATCCCCACAATTTTCTTACCAAGACCCCATGATTTCAGAACAACAACAAAAATTACTTCTTTTGAGCCAAGTAGTCTCAGATCAAATTGTTAGCTCCAGTTCATAAAGGATGTATGTATTAACAAGAACTAAAACCCAGGTCAGATAAAAAGTGGGAAGGACATGCCAGTTATATACATGAAGCCTGGGCCTTTCCCAAAGATCATGCATTGCTCTTTTTAAATTTCATTTGTGACACTTGAAAAAGGGAAAACAAATATAAATCATGTATGGTACCATAAATCTCTGGAGACTCCAAGCATTACGTGGATACACTCCTAAAATTACGAAGTCTATGTAGTTAACAATTTAGAAGAAAATTAATGACCTCTATTATGAATCAGGTCTTGGCTATTCTTATAGACCTTGCCTAATGCTCTTAAATATTGCAGTTACTGCAAAATAATCTTACGAAATCCAAAGAAAATGCGTAATACCCAGGTCACCCAGGAACCAACAGTTCCGTAAGACAGGTAAACATTGAGTAGACATCAAGGTTTGGGCTCTTCCCCTCAAGAGTATATAATTAAAATCTTGCCCCATGCCAGGACTCATTTCTTCTAATTGACCACCAGGTGGCAGAAGCATAGCACCACCAAGCCTTGTCGCCATATTTATCATTTTTTTTTTAAAGATTTTATCTATTTGAGAGAGAATGAGAGAGCACATGAGAGGGGGGAGGGTCAGAGGGAGAAGCAGACTCCCTGCCTAGCAGGGTGCCCGATACGGACTCGATCCAGGGACTCCAGGATCATGACCTGAGGCAGTCACTTAACCAACTGAGCCACCCAGGCGCCCCTATTTATCACCTTTAACCCACATATTAACGATCACCTTTAACGCATTTTGCTTCAGGCTTGAGGACTGAGGCCCATCACAACCAAATGACATATGCACATGACTTCTATGGGACTCAAATTCCAAGGCCAAGTACTTCTGGCATGTAGCCCATCACCATTTACTGTCAAAGCTAAGTTCTCAACACTTTTACTAACACACCCATCACAAAGCCAACAATGTGGGGCTTTGCTCTAAAACCACTTACCTAAAGGCAATCCAGTGCAAATTTGTCAGGCAAAATTGTACTGAAAGCTTTTAAGTCCTTTTGAGGGTTAGCCTAAATCACATGAAATCAGAATTGGCATATTCCAGGCCTTTCCTTTTCAGTTGACTCTATATGGTAAACCCCACCCACCTCAAGTTTGCAGCTAATTCCCCACGTTACCATCCAGCCCTGACCAAGCTGAGAAAAAGGATCAATCTCCCCCTGGAGAACATGTAAGGCTTTGTAAGGAATATGCTGCATCTGTCCTTGGTCAGTTCCACATGCTTAAACTTCTTCCACTGACTGGCTATTCCACTGTTCCAATTGGCCATCCCCAAACTTAAGTAACCCTCAAACAGATAACCAGATTGTTAGCAAGCTACACAGAGCAAACATTAGATTCCCCCTTTTCCAATTGCTTCCTCCCCTGCAACAGCTCCCCCAGCACTGGAAAGCCTATCTGCAGCTCAAATTTCCTTTTACTGTAATATGTAGTGATCATGAACCCATCTAATCATAAACCCAAACCACTCTTTATACAGATTCATAATCTGACCAGAGGCATTTGGTGAAACTCCTATTGGACAATCCAAATACTGTTTTTGGTGATTCACCACCAGGCCACAAGAATATCCACAGCCCCCAAATACCAAATGCTGCCTGCTGCCCTTGTATACATGGAGTCAGACAATTGTATGGTGCCAATTAAATACAGTTTTATTTAAGACATTGCATTTTCCACTTAACAATACAGTGCTTATAAAGTGCAATGTTTATTTCCTTTCCCTGTGCACGTATTCCATATTCAAGTATAAAGAATGCCCAGTTTATTTACTATAGCAGCTCAACATTAAAACTGCCATGGAATTTGCTACAAATTTGGGTCCTTCGAATATTTTGTGTGGAACAATGCTAGACCTACTCTCAGGTTGGCTTAATCAACCTCTTCGATGGTGGGTCCAGAGGAGGCACCACCAGAGGGAGGAGCTCCACCACCAGGGAAACCTCCAGGCATTCCTCCTGGCATGCCCCCTGCACTCTGGTACAGTTTGGTAATGATAGGATTGCAGACTTTCTCCAGCTCTTTCTGCTGGTGTTCAAATTCTTCCTTCTCTGCAGTCTGAAAGGAAAAAAAATTTTTTACTACAAGTTCCTCAAAGTAAACAATGTCTGGCACATTCTGTTTAAGACTAGACACAGAAGCGTTATCACATTCAAGTCTTCACTACCCATGAAATCTTGGGTCACTCAGACATCCAAGGAAGGAAGCTAGTTGCCAACATCTGGGATTCTGGTGGAAACCGCGAATGTTTGGACCATTCATCATCGTGACCTATGTTTTTAAGGCCCATCTAACCTTTTGCTAAAGCCCTATAACCACCCGCACCCACTCTCCTACTATAGAGATTACAAACCTGGTTCTTATCAAGCCAATTGATGATTTCATTGCACTTGTCAAGAATCTTCTGTTTGTCCTCATCATTGATCTTGCCCTGAAGTTTTTCATCTTCAACAGTTGCTTTCATGTTGAATGCGTAAGACTCAAGTGAGTTCTTGGAGGACACCTTGTCTCGCTGTTTCTCATCTTCAGCTTTGTACTTCTCAGCTTCCTGGACCATGCGCTCAATGTCTTCCTTGCTCAAGCGGCCTGTGAAGTTAACCAGTTTTTACTAAAACTGAACCTTCAAAGTTACCCTGCAACGTTTGTAACCCATTAAAGCTGCATTCCAGGAAATGATTTCTTGGCTAAAATACCCTTGGGCAGTTGAAGTATTTGAAAAATATGATCCTTATGACCCAAACTCTCTTAAGACAAAATATCAAATTAACTCAAAGTTGTGCTGTTAACTTACCCTTGTCATTAGTGATGGTAATCTTGTTCTCTTTTCCTGTGCTCTTATCCACAGCAGAGACATTGAGGATACCATTAGCATCAATATCAAAAGTGACTTCAATCTGAGGAACGCCACGAGGGGCAGGAGGTATGCCTGTGAGTTCGAACTTGCCAAGTAGGTTGTTATCCTTGGTCATGGCACGCTCACCTTCATACACCTTGGTAGGAAATAAAAATTACTAAGAAAGGGCAGAGATTACTGCCTCAGTTTCTAGATTTGTGGAAAAATCCATTAGGAAAGACGGATCGCTCAGACATCCAAGGAAGGAACTGGCCAACACAAGGCTTCTGGTGGAAACTACGAATGGTTGAAGTCAAATCATCATAGCGGGACAAGTCTTCCCAAAGTTTCACAGGACCAAGTACAGCCAAAACAATACCAATACAATATAAAACATACCTGAATAAGCACACCAGGCTGGTTGTCAGAGTAGGTAGTGAAGGTTTGTGTCTGTTTGGTAGGAATGGTAGTATTACGCTTGATGAGAACAGTCATGACTCCTCCAGCAGTTTCAATGCCAAGAGAAAGTGGAGTGACATCCAACAGCAGCAAATCTTGAACATTTTCAGATTTGTCTCCAGAAAGGATGGCTGCCTGGACAGCTAAAGTGAAGATAATTGATTAAGAAAAAAATCCCAACCACCTCATTACCTCACTAACAAATGTCAATCGCTCAGACATCCAAGGAAGTTGGGCCATCATCAGCTAAGCTTTTGGTGGAAACTACGAATGTTTAAGGAATCAATCATCACAGCGAGTCAGCTTGGGGCCTGAAAGGCCATCTGTTAGAACTGTTTAACTAGGATAGAGGGATTATTACCTGCACCATAAGCAACAGCCTCATCAGGGTTGATGCTCTTATTCAGTTCTTTCCCGTTGAAGAAATCTTGTAGAAGTTTCTGAATCTTGGGGATACGGGTAGAACCACCCACCAGGACAATATCGTGGATCTGAGACTTGTCTAGTTTGGCATCCCGAAGGGCTTTCTCTACAGGGTCCAGGGTGCCACGGAACAGATCAGCATTTAATTCTTCAAACCGGGCACGAGTAATAGAGGTATAGAAGTCGATTCCTTCGTATAGAGAATCAATCTCAATACTGGCCTGCGTGCTGGAAGAAAGTGTACGCTTAGCACGTTCACAAGCAGTACGGAGACGACGAACTGCCCTCTTGTTTTCACTGATGTCCTTCTTATGTTTGCGCTTGAACTCTGCAATAAAATGGTTGACCATCCTGTTGTCGAAGTCTTCTCCACCTAAGTGGGTGTCTCCAGCTGTGGATTTAACCTCAAAGATCCCATCTTCAATAGTAAGGATGGACACATCGAAAGTGCCACCTCCTAAGTCAAAGATCAGCACATTCCTTTCAGCACCAACCTGCAATTAAAGTACAAGGTATTACTCCTTATCCATTCTCCACTGGCTCCCAATCTATGGTAAAATGAATCCTATGCTTTACAAATGGTACATACCTTCTTGTCTAAGCCATAAGCAATAGCAGCAGCAGTTGGCTCGTTGATGATTCGAAGTACATTGAGACCAGCAATAGTTCCAGCATCTTTGGTAGCCTGACGCTGAGAGTCATTGAAGTATGCAGGTACCGTGACAACTGCATTGGTAACAGTCTAGAAACACAAATACGGTTTTCGTAGTCCATTCCTAAAACTATCAGTCCCATGATCACGTTGCCTCTGCGTGCACTTAAGACAACCATTCTTTAAAAAGACAACCTGATCAGTCAAGACCCCATGAATTCCATTTATTAGGAAATGTGGTGCATAATATTGCAGCCTCCAACTACCTCCCTGTAGGGCTGCACACTACTCACCTTCCCAAGGTAGGCCTCTGCAATTTCCTTCATCTTCGTCAAAACCATGGAGGACACCTCCTCTGGATAGAAACTTTTTGTCTCTCCCTTGTATTCTACTTGGACCTTGGGCCTGCCAGCATCATTCACCACCATAAAAGGCCAATGCTTCATATCAGATTGGACAACAGCATCATCAAATCTACGTCCAATTAGGCGTTTGGCGTCTGTAATGGGTAATCAAATGCAAAGGTTAACATTCCATCTACCCAGAACAACCCTGGTCCCTCCACTACTCAAATGCCAAGAGGCCGAGCAAACTCAGTCTGATCTCGGAAGCAAACTCAATAGTAAATGGACTTACATTTTCTGGCAGTTACTCAAATTCCCTAATTTTAGAATTACCTCAGCTTTCTTTAGCATGGAGCTGTAAAACGCCCACTAATAAATTAAAAATCAGCTTTCCCTTTTTTCCGGGCTTTCGGGGCTGCCTTATATTCCATAAACTTCCGACTCTCAAATTACACGCAGTCTAGACCACGTGAACTCACAGCATACTGCCCGTATTAACGGCTTACCAAAAACTGTGTTGGTGGGGTTCATCGCAACTTGATTCTTCGCAGCATCACCGATCAACCGTTCGGTGTCCGTGAAGGCGACGTAACTTGGGGTGGTTCGGTTTCCCTGATCATTGGCAATTATTTCCACTTTCCCGTGCTGGAAGACACCCACGCAAGAGTAGGTGGTGCCAAGATCAATGCCAACTGCAGGTCCCTTAGACATGGTTGCTGGAAAATTTTGAAAAGCCCGTGGTTTGAAAAGGCAACTAAACGCTTAGAAACGTCTACTGTGAAACCTAGCTTCAGGTACGAGGCACTTTTTTTTGCCAAGATTTCACTTACCGCCTCCCCCCCCCCCCCCCCCAAAAACTGCCCTTGTGGGAAAACCACGAGTAAGGGCCGGATCAAGCCATTCTGCAGTCCACGTTCAGTGCCAACCGCAGCTGAGCCCAGCCCAGACCGAAGGAAGCACCTGTCCGGAGGGTCTGCGACAGTGCCGAGCACGTGGTCTCGAGCCCAGAGCCCGACCTCCACTCTCCCTCCTCCCTGCGACCTGCACCCCGACAGAACACGCAGTGCGGCCCGTATTCCGTGCTCGAGAGTCCCCCTCCCCCGCGTCGGGCGCGTGCCCATGGCGGCTTCCTGCTCTGAGGACCTAGGGAAGGTCGCTCCAGGGCGCCGGACTTCCGCCCCCCCGAGCGCGGATGCGGCCCTCGCCCAGCCTTCCCTGTCTGTGGGCGCCGCCCTGGCTCCGCGGCGGCCATCACGGCCTACAGCCCACGCCCCGGCTCTCCCGCCCGGCCGCAACCCAGGTCCGCCGCCTCCCAGGGTGAAGCGATGCCCTGGGCAGGGGACTCACGGCCCCCCGCCTACGCGAACGCCCAAAAGCCTCCGAAGTGCCGCAAACCCGCTCAGCCCGGGCGCGGGGCGCACGTTCCTGAGGAACCGCCACGAGAATACAAGACAGAGACCTTACCTTCTGTGTGGGCCCGGCCCGGCTTGAGAAGAAATCAGCCGTCTGGCGACTTAGCCCAGCGTTCAATGAGACCGGTTTCCGCCCGCCACCCTGTCTCTTATACCCTGCCTCAGAACCTTCCAGAAGGGGTCCACCCCTGCCGGCTGCCCATCATGGCTTCTTCGGCCAATGGGCGCGCGGCCACCTCTACGAGCCCCAATGACTAAGCCGGCTCTACCCCTCGGGCCTCGCCCACTCCCGCCCCCATTCCACCCCCCCTCGCGATGACGCACTCACCGCAGCGTTCTGGAACTTTCATTCTCGCCCCCTTTCTCCGAACGGCCCCGGGGAAAGGGAGGGTGGAGCCGAGAGAGCCCGCGCGCGGGAGTCCTCAGTCACCCCAGGCCCGCGGGGGGGTGGGGGGGGTGTCAAAGGAGCGTCCGCTTCTGCGCAGGCGCCCCCAGTAAGCGTGGGCGGGAGGGGACGGAAGGAGGAGGAGGAAGAGGGGCGGGCAAATTTGGAACTAGCCAATGACAGCAGCACTGGCTGCTATCTGGATCCACGCGGAACCAGGGGAGGACGAGAGCAGGGGCCGAAGGGAGGGGTCCGGAGCCCGCAGCCCGGGAGGGAAGACGGAAGTAGAGCGAGGACAAAATGGCCGCGAAGGTTGTTGCGCCCCTCCCCACCCAGTCCTCATTCTGTTTCCCCCAACCCCTACTTCGGCGTTGTATAGGATCCTCTAGGCCCTCCCTCCCGGATTCCATGTTCCCACGTTTCCTACCTACTGTGGCTTTGGGCTAGGACTGAACACTAGGACCCGGGGGGGTGGGTACCGACCGCTGGGCGCTGCTAGGGTGACTTGCCCGGGGGTACACAGATCTGGGGCTAGAGGGACCGAGCTCAAGCGGGGTGGGACAGGTTAGCCAGGCCGACCCCTAGAATTTTCAGTCACCGTGCAGGTGAAGGCCGGCAGCCCTCGAGGCAGCGGTTGGAGGGGGTCCGGCCTCTCAGAACCACCTGGGCCGGATCCTGTGCCTGAACCCTCAGCGAAATAAAGGTCCAGACCCGCTTCCCTGAGTCCAGACTCCGCCACGCCCCACCTCCCGCCAAAACAGGTTCGGCTTTTTGGCTCTCCCTCTCCCCTCACCCAAATCCCTCACTTCTCAGTTATCTGTTAAAAGAAAAGCTAGTGAGTTTTTTCCGTGTAGGAGAATCAGGCATTAGGAACCTGCGTTCCGGTAGTCCCGTATCCTTGATTTAGACTTTCTAGAGCCTCTTTTATTTTTAGTAACAGGATGTATTATTTTTCCTTCCTTGACTTATAAAAAAGCTAAACGAGAGATTGTTCAGAGGCATCTTGAAAACATTACTAATCAGTCCACAAAACGATAGTACTTAGAATTAAATTGTGCTTGGTGGTAGGTATTTGGGCCTTGTCATTCTAAGCCTTTGTCAGTTCCTTGAAATGTTTTCAGGGTGTTCTTGCAAACAGGCAGGGCAGCTGATATTCTTGCTTAATAAATGGGCAGATAAATGAAAAGATTCTTTTTAAAACTACCTAACATAGTGGTGTGGCTGAAATTAGAAAGGCCTTCCAGACAGTGCCTCCAAAAAGGCTGTCAGAAGAGGACACTTTGTCCTTGTTAAAACCAGTAAGGCCTAGAGACAGATTCAAACATGTGAAGGAAGAATTTTTTTTCACATTTGCCTTTGCGGGGGGGGGGGGGGGCAATTTTAGGCTTGAGCACGTGGAGGCATATATTTAAATTTCTCCCCATCTCCCAAGAAATTAATTTTATATGATGCTTTTACAGCGTACAAAGGGCTTTCATTTGTTATATAACGTAATCATCAAAACAGTTTTCTGAGATATATATTATACATCATGGTATTAGGAGAAAAATGAGGTTCAGAGATGTTATTTGTAGGATTTACAGCTGGCTGAGGTAGAATGGAAGCTAGCGCTTTTGATTCCAGAATCCTTGGTCTGTTTTTTTGTTACACTATGGTATAATTTCCTTTCTAGAAACACATGTAACTACACAACTCCAGAAAGAGGAAGATGTGTGCTGTGGGAGGCTCCTTTCAATTTTCTTTGGTATCTACAATCTTCCTTTTCCCACTCAACCTATCAAGTACAGTCTCTGAACTATACCCTACATTTTGCAGCTTTTAACCTCTGGACTACCTGCAACATTTTAATTATTGAAGCATTGGAAAATAAAACAAGGGCCCAGGGCGCCTGGGTGGCTCAGTTGGTTAAGCGGCTGCCTTCGGCTCAGGTCATGATCCTGGAGTCCCGGGATCGGGTCCCGCATCGGGCTCCCTGCTCGGCAGGGAGCCTGCTTCTCCCTCTGACCCTCTTCCCTCTGGTGCTCTCTGTCTCTCATTCTCTCTCTCAAATAAATAAATAAAAATCTTAAAAAAAAAAAAAATAAAACAAGGGCCCAGATTCAGTGGCTTGGACTATCCCACCTAACAGCAGTGATTAAAGAAAGTAGAGTCAATAACGTGTCTCCTGTCACTCAAAATACATTGTAGAACTTGGACTATGCTCTTATTAAATAGAATGATTCAGACTTTATGTTTTTAAAGCTCAGTAAGATGAATGTCCTATCTCCACTTCTTGAAATACACAAGGTTTCAGACACATTCAGGATGGAAAATTAAAGTTTGGGGGCATAGGGACTGCAGTGAAGAAGTCTGAAGCCTAGGGTTTCTGACTGGGGGATGGGGTTCATGATGAACATATTTGAGTCCCTGTCACATACCAAGCACTGTTATAAGTGCTTTGCATGTATTATCTCATTTAATTTTGTGAAGTTTTTTTTTCAGATTTATTTAAATCTCTCAGTGTTCACTTCTTTTGAGATTTGTTTGAACCCCTTAATGTATAGTTCTGTTGGCACTTCACCTTGGTATAAAATATTTGCTTCGTAAATATTTATTTTGATGAAGTCCTTAAGAGCAGGATCTCTGTCATAACTTGGTATCTCCAGTACTACTAAGTATCTTGCTTTGTGAGAAACTAGTACTTGATATATTTGTCACTGAAATTAATAAATAATAGATCATATTCAAACTGAGTTCTTCTGTTTTTTTTTTTTTTGGCAGCAAGCTAATGAACAAATTTCCAGGGAAGGTTATATGACCTTTAGCTTCTACGGTATTACCTTTACTTATTTATTTTTTAATTGCTAATACAGATACATCTGTAATAAATATTTGTTTTTTGTGATCAAACACAGTCTCAATTACAAGGCAACTTAGAAGTTAAAATATAAACAGCTTAATACCAGAAATGAAGCAAAATTATGTCCTTTTGCAACAGCAATTCTGAAATTATTTTTATACAGTGTAACAACAAGGGCATCAACTTCATTATTTTCCAAATTTAAGTTTGGTTTATATATTTTATTGAAATGGTTATTCTCCAAACATTCACATCATTCCATCAGTATCTTCTTCCCACAAACATTTCTTCCCTCTACTTTTTAGCTATCTTGCCTTTTTGTTTGTTTCATATTAAAGGATCAAATTTATTTGACTTAAAGTTAATGGAATATGGTTTGAAGCCAGAAGTGTCTCAGAACTTCATCTGAACCCAAAAACCTGACTCTAAGAGAAGTGTACTCTCATTGCTAAAACTTCACCCTTATCGCTCAGAATTTTCAATTCCTTAGAATTTCTCAGACTTTAGGTAGTTACCTGTTTTGTGAATTTTCTTGTAGATTTCCAGTGGGAATAGATACCCCAAATCTGGATATTCAACTGGTATTTTAGTCTTTTAGTAACTAACATGTTTAAATAACCTAAATCTCCACATCATGCAAAGGGGACTGATTCCTGCTTTCAAAGGCATATACAGGAAACATTAGGTTCAAAGGTGTAAATAATGATAAGAGCAAATTGCTTGTGATGATAGAGCTGCAGCCTCCAGAGTGTACTTGTTTGGCTCAGGTACTCTAGGAATGGGAATTCTCAGAATTTCATAGCAGAGGTGATAGGTTACCACACTACTAAAAGAATAAAAAAGAGTATGGAAGGGGTTTCTATCTTACAATGAGGCAGTATAAGAAGCATTCCAAATATGCCAGACTTCTTAAATTAATAGCAGACATTCTTTACATTACTTCCTCAATGTCTCTTATTTCCCAGCTTTTTATAAGAGGAAGACAAACCTCAGATTACAGTTTTCACCCAAGGATAAACCCCAATATCTTTCTCTTTTCTTCTTCTTCTTCTTAAAGAACCTTAGAGGGAAATGCATTTGCACTATATGAGGACTGTTTTGTGAGAATTAAATGTAGAAATGAAAAACCAGAGAAATGGGGCCAAATCCCAGATCTGCCTTTTCTCTTCAAGCATCTGATTCCCATTTTAGAAACAATGCTTTCATCTCCAGATTCAGCATGACTTTCTCTTTTAATCATAAATATTTTGCACTACCAATGGTGATCTGTTGACATTTGTCCTAAGGTCCTTACAGGGCTATTTCAGATCTACCATTCTTGCCATAGGATGAATTTGACTCACAGAATAGTCAACACTATTAAAAAGGCAAGTTCTTGTATTAGAGGCTGTGCTTTTCTTTTTATTTCTCACACACCTTTCTTCCATGAATCAACTCTTTGATGGTTATCCTGGTGAATCATTTCTGTTCATTGTTTCCAAGATGGTGACAGTTCGAATGTTAGCAGTCACTAATCCAGCCCTGTCCTGCCACCCATGAGTTATCCTCACCATCCCTTCCCTAAATATAATTCCCTTTCCTTCCAGACCTGGACTTCCTCAGAGGCTGGGAAATTACTGAATTTCTCTCTGTGTCAGCCTCTCAGGAGGGAATGATTATGACGTACTTGCAATGCCATTAGGAAACATTGGCAATCCCTGATCTTTTTGATAATTTAAGGCCTAGAATTATCAAAAGTCCCAGGTTCACACCCTTCTCCTAAAATGAAAGAAATGGAGGAAGCTCCAAGTTTGGTGTAATAGTAAACTTCCTTATACCACTCCTCAATATATTAAGAGAAAATTGATCTATCTAAGCTCCCTTTCTCGTTTAGTCAGTCTTGAAATTCTGATTTCATGTTCTCAGAAGAGAATGCAATGATATGTCAGATGATCTTTTAGCATCTCTGAAAGATCTCTCTTTCTCTAAAAGACTTCTAGGAAAATTGTCAAATGACACACAGTGAATGTTTTTTTGCTCCAGGTATCCAGCAGGGAAGTCCTCAGAGACGTCTGATTTGAGGGACAGTCCATAATTGTTCCAGTATATATTTCTGATATCTGTCAGTGACCCTCTGAATTCATTAAGATGGAAAGTTTTTCACAGTCCCCTGTCACACATTTTGAATTCCTTTCTTAGTTCTCTTATGGTTTGATAGAAGTGGGAGATTAGTAGTGGATAGAGGGGGAGAAACTCAAATCATTCTTCACCTCCCACTAGTTCAACTCCTTGTAAAATTAATATCCAAACCTTATGGTAAATGAAGTCAGGTCAGAAGAAATGTATTTCCTTTTTTGAAATTTCTCAGAAGCAAGATGCCCAGTACATGGTGCAGCTAGGTGAAATATAAGGCTGTGGGTTCCACTTGACTCTGAATAATCACAACAATCCAGTAGGTTTGCAGAAATGCATAGAAAATTTATGAACAACATCTCATTTCTTCTTGACAACGTTGAGCCGAAGTATTGATACAAAACATCTCAGGTGAGAAGTTTTAAGTGTGTTCAGTTCCCCTTTCCCCAGCCTTTTCCACCACAGGTCCTGGTCAACAAACACACAGATCTGGACCCCCGCTTTTCCCCACTCTGGTCTCAAGGCACCATGAGATGCTTTTTGGGAGATGATCAGTTTACATCCTTTTTCCTGTTTGGTGTCATATAAAGAAAGTGCTCATTTGCATCGGTTCCATGCAATGCTCACTGCTACTGAAACGGCCTGTCATCTGGTTCGAGGGGGTCGTGTGGCTGGTGACTGGGCTTCAGTGACTTCTATAGAAGAGTCCTAAGATCCTGACTCCCAGGAAAGCATGGGAGTCCAGTCCACTCTAATTCAGACGGTTCGGAAGGCCCTGCTCTGGCTGGGGATCATGCTGGGTGTGGTTCTGCTTTGGTCAGGGTAGCGTGGTGGACTTTCTTTGGTTCCGAAGCCCTCCCCTCCGGCCGCACTAGGCTGTAGGCATGGGTGGCCAGCCCTGGCTGGGGCGCCGCTTCGGTCGACAGCGTCCGCTGGCTGCGTGAGGCACTGTTTGCTGTGGAGCGCGTGGAGGAGGAACCGGAGCGTGAGCTCCGGGAGCCGGAGGAGGAGGAACTGGGTTTCACGAGGCGCGCTTTGGGGGCTTCCGCATCCTCCCTGAAGAGAAAAAACAGCAAAGGTAAACTTCAATGCCGACAAGACCGGGATGGCGTCCCCTATGGTTGCTTCCGTCTGAGGTTTCCCAATAAATGCCTCAAGCTGTAAACTTCACATGATACCACTGGAAGGCAGCCATTTAGGGGAATGGGCGCTTCCCCAGTCCCTGAGACTTCATGGTTGGCTTAGGCAAATGGATGTTTTGTAAGCCCTGAAGTCAACTCTGTTAGGCTGGGAGAGTAGGCACTCACCATTGAGATTGATTTGGGGTTTGTCTACATAAACCCTTATTTGTTTGTTTGTTTGTTTTTTGGTGGGCAGCAAAGCAAGGTTTATTGAGGATTGCAAAGTGATAGTACAAAGCTCCCAAGGAGGGAGGGGACCCCAGGGGGTTGCCCAATCCTTTAATTTTTTTTTTTAAGGTTTTTTTTTTTTTTTTTATTCGACAGAGAGAGAGCGAGAGCATGAACACAAGCAGGGGGAGTGGGAGAGGGAGAAGCAGGCTTCCCGCTGAGCAGGGAGCCCGATGTGGGACTCGATCCCAGGACCCTGGGATCGTGACCCGAGCTGAAGGCAGACGCTTAACGACTGAGCCACCCAGGCACCCTAATTTTTTTTTTAAGTAAGCTCCACACCAGCGTGGAGCCCAACGTGGGGCTTGAACTCACAATGCTGAGATCAAGAGTAACTGACTGAGCCCACCCAGGTATCCCTACGTAAACCCTTTCATGGCCCATAGGTTATACCCATTCTTGATTGTAGGCCCTTCATAAGTGCAAGTGAATCACAAGTAACCTAAAGTTGATCTTTTCATTCTCAGTTGAGGATAAATAGTTTCACAGTAAAGGCAAGATAAAACAGACCTTCTGTCCCTAGGCTGGAACTCCTTACCTAACCAGAATAATCCTTTTAACAGATTCATAGTTAAGAGGAAATGGGAGGGGCACCTGGGTGGCTCAGTCAGTTAAGCATCTGCTTCAGCTCAGGTCATGATATATTAGGGTCCTGGGATTAAGCCTCAAATTGGGCTCCCAGCTGAGGAGTGAGTCTGCCCATCCCTCTGCCTCTGCCCCACCACTCCCCCCTCCCCCTCCCCTCCCCCCCAGCTCCTGCTGTGTCTCTC